GGCTGCCCAAACCCGACCCCGACCGACGAGTCTCGAGTCTCTCCTGGGTCGACCCGACCCATTTACATCTGACTTCCAACCATTTCCTTTGACTTCCTTGACTTTCAAATTGGATTTTTTTACTAAAGTACATACATATTTAGATGAAATCCAATTCATGTTTTACAACTTTCATGCAAGGAGGAGTTAAATCACCAAAGATGGTTGTGAGTAAAGCAACTCGTTCCCAGAGAGTCAGAAGGGCCGCCAAATCTGTTAAGAAATCATTGCCAGATAGCTTATGTATTGGTTTTTCTTTGCCTTTTTCTTTAACATATTATGTAAATTCCACCCCTAAAAGCATACTACATAATACATAAGTCCATAATAGCCCCCAGAAGTCAATACTATGACCTCCCTGGGTGGCTGTTCCAAGTCCTAGAAAAAATAAATTACAAACTTTTTTTTTATTGCACCTACAGACTTGTGGTTATATCTTTGGGTTCTACTGCTTCTGTAGAGCCCAAAAATGTATAGTAAGGGTATGTAGCCCTATTTGAGCCAACCAACATACAGCTCAAAGTTCGAAAATAATTTTGCAGGCGCGGTGTTACACAAAAGAGGGTTAGGGCACTGTATTCCTGTTCCAAATGTTTTCGGAGTTGGATGACTGCTCAAATGATGAATATGCATCTGACTGTCCAGCATATTACCTAATCACCCCCCTCCTTCGGCAGTCGTCTCGAATTTTTAAAGTTTTACCCCAACCAGCTTTTTGGCGGATCCCCCAAGTTTCACCAGCCGTTGAACATCCTCATCCTACAATCATACACATCGTCATCTTGAACCCCATCCAGATTCCAGAACACTTTTGGTGCTTAACTTCCTTATCGTTCCAATTCCACTGTGGTATCAAGCTGGGGTTCATATCCAAAGAGTTCGAAAGTCTCCTTCCTGGCTTATCTAATCCAAAACCCACTTGTGCTAAAAAGCCGATTGCAAACATCAGCAAACTGTCCCACAACCCCCATCAGTATTTATCACCCTACTCCCCTAGAACAGACTGTTAGACAGTCTAACTCGTGCTGCCCTCCGTACCACGTCCTCTTTGTTCTACCTTTCCCTTGAACTCATCTTTGAACTACAAAAAAAACTTTCCTCCATTCTTGATCCAAAACGCTTCCAGAATCAGTCTCACAAGTCTCTGTTTACCAAAAAAATAAAAAAATAAAACAAAAACTAATTTGCAAAGAAACACCTACCACAATGGCCGAAATTGATTACGACAGCCTTCCTCAGACCGTGGATATCTCCTTTGAGCCTGATTCCAACATCATTGATGTCAAGCTATGTATGTGAGAGTTCAGAAATCATCCACTTGTCTGTTTTTTATCAAGTTGATGAACCTGATCGGCCAGAAGAACTGACTTGTGACTTGCTCTTAACCAACCCACCACTCGCCATGCAGTTGATTACCTGGTTCCTTCTGGTTCGGGTCCCAATGCTGAACCCAAAGTTACCCAACTTGACTTGAAATACAAGTACTCTCCTGAAACTCCATGGGCTCCTATTCACGAAGTCGTTGAGGACAGGATTGATAGGATCAAAAGATATTACTGGAATGTTTGGGATCTCGGAACAGAGGTCAATTGGATTTCATTTGCTTCCTCGTCTGGCTCAGGGGCCCTCACCTACACATCACATGCTGACGATGTTTTTATTCGTATCACAGGAAGAGTTCGAGAATCTGCCGACTGCTCCTAGCGCCATCTTCCATGGACCTAAGGTCGATATTTTGGCGGAGGACATCGTATCATTTTCCACCATCGTTGGCAACGACTCGGATGCTTACCGTTCGTCCGGTCCCAACTCCGAAGTCCCCATGGATTTTGGTATCAAATTGGGATGGAAAGCCATCATGAAGCCCCTTTTCCCTAAATCGATCCCAGGTGATTTGCTTGCCCTAGTGCATTTGAGCAACCGATTTGATATGAGAGATCGAGCCCCAAGACTCAAGGTAAGATGGCCTTGATTTTCTTTGCACAGCACTCCTAACAGCAACTCTCACTGATCATTCCACCCCAAATTTCCGATTCAATTCTTTTTAGGTCGGTGATACAGTCACGAGTGAAGCCAAGATCGCTAGCATTACCAATAGCGAGACCGGAAAGACGGTGGCAGTCAAAGGGACGGTGTTCCTACTCAAGGATGGCGAGAAAACTCCTGTCATGGACGTCATTTCCTCGTTTTTTTACCGTGGTCGATTCGACGACTTTGATGCAACCTTCATGTCTGAAGATGATCCGGAATACAAAGTGACGATGAACTCGACTACCGACATCTCTGTCTTAAAATCGAAGGATTGGTTCGATTGGAAGGATGAAAACGTTAAACTCGCTCCTGGCCAAACTCTTACCTTCCAAACCTCATCCTCCTACCGATACAAGGAGAAGGGAGTATATGCTTCAGTGGAAGTCGAAGGATCAGCGTATCTCACTGGAATCGGCTCCGATCCCAACAAACTCGTTCAAGTCGCCATAATCTCTTACACATCCGCCACTTCATCTAAAGGTAATCCCGTCCTCGAGTACCTCAAACGATCCGGCAAACCAGTTGGACAACATATTCTTTTCCCCACCGGTGGTTACCTCATCAAGGACGAAAACAATATCAGTGAAATCAAAACTCCTACGAACAATCTGCCGTATTCGCAGGCCAGTGCGGATTGGAACCCGATTCATTGTAACCCTTACTTTGCCAATTTAGCCTCCCTCCCTGGCACGATCACTCATGGAATGTGGTCTAGTGCTGCCACTCGAAGTGTTGTCGAGAGGGTAGCCGCCGAAGGACATGGCGCGCGGGTCAAGAGCTACGATGTCTCTTTCACCGGCATGCTTCTGCCTAATACGACTCTTAAGATCGAGCTCAAGCACATCGGACAAACCTCGAAGGGCTACAAACTCATCTCCGTCACCACCTACGCTCTTCCTGGCGAATCATCCTCTTCCGCCGAACCTACAAAAGTGCTTGTTGGTACTGCAGAGGTCGCGCAAGCTTCGACTGGTTACGTTTTCACTGGGCAGGGAAGTCAAGAGCCTGGAATGGGTATGGCTCTTTACAACGAATCGGCAGTTGCCCGAGCGGTCTGGGACGAAGCCGACAGGCACTTGGGCGAAGTGTATGGATTCAGTATCCTTGAGATCGTCCGCAACAACCCCAAGGAAAAGATTGTGCATTTTGGCGGCATCAAAGGACACGGGATTCGACAGCGTTACATGGAAATGTCGTATCAAACCACTGACAAAGATGGGAACGTCAAGACCCTCCCTCTGTTCGGTGATATCGACCTTCGCACTTCTCGCTACACCTTCTCCTCTCCAACTGGTCTATTGTACGCCACCCAATTTGCACAGATCGCCTTGGTAGTGACTGAAAAAGCGGCATTCGAGGATCTCCGCGAAAAGGGACTAGTCCAGGAGGGTGCACCTTTCGCTGGCCACAGTCTCGGAGAGTATTCTGCCCTGGCCAGTATTGCTGGCGTTTTGCCCATTTCATCCCTCGTCGATGTTGTCTTTTTCCGAGGAATCACGATGCAACGGGCTGTTGAAAGAGACGAGCAGAACCGCTCGAAGTATGCGATGGCCGCCATCAATCCCAGCAGGATCGGCAAGAGCTTCAGTGATGCAGCCCTGCGTGAAGTTGTTGATACCATCTCCAAACGATGCCAAGTCTTGCTAGAAATCGTCAACTTTAATGTCGAAGGCCAGCAATACGTCACCGCCGGGGAGCTTGTTGCTTTGCAAACTCTTACCAACGTCTTGAATTTCTTGAAGGTCCAGAAAATCGATATCGCTCAACTTCAGCAAACGATGTCGCTTGAGAAAGTCAAAGAACACCTGATTGAAATTGTCGACGAGTGCCACAAAGAGTCCCTGCTCAAAGAAGAAAAGCAGGGATTCATTGTACTTGAGCGCGGATTTGCGTAAGTTGTCCACTTTCTTTTGCTGTACAATCAACATTTATATGTTCTTTGAAGCTAAACAAATCTTATGAATCCCCACTTGATCAGTTCGATTCCTCTTCCGGGCATTGACGTTCCATTCCACTCACGTTATCTGTGGGCGGGTGTCATGCCTTTCCGAGCATACCTCTCCAAAAAGTTAAACCCAGCTCACATGAACCCCGAGCTGCTTATCGACAAATACATTCCCAATTTGACCGCTGAACCTTTTCAAATCTCCAAAGCGTACGCTGAACGCATTTACCAACAGACCAACTCTCCAAGGCTAGAGAAAACATTGAAAAACTGGGTCGAAGATGGCTGGGATCTTCCCGAAAACCGAAGCAAGCTTGGATATGTGATTATCGTTGAGCTTCTTGCTTATCAATTCGCATCGTCAGTGCCTTTTCTATCCTTTCCGTAGCTTTCTTTTTCCTCTGAGCTCATCTAACATTGCTCTCATTTGGATTTTCAGACCCGTTCTCTGGATTCAAACTCAAGACCAATTGTTTTCCCATCAGAAGTATAACATCGAGCGTCTCATTGAATTCGGTCCCTCTCCAACCCTTACCGGCATGGCTTCTCGTACCTTGAAACTGAAGTATGACCAGCAAGACACAGCTCACAACATGTCCCGAGAAATCCTCTGCATTTCTAAAAACATCAAAGAAATCTACTATCAATACGAAGACGAAGTCGAAGCGGAGGCTGCCCCTGCAGCAGTCAGCGAACCCACTGCCGCTTCTCCTGCCGCCGTCGCCGTCGCCGTCGCCGTCGCTGCCCCCGTTGCTGCCTCTGGACCTGTCGCTGCTGTTGCTGACGAGCCACTGAAGGCTGTTGAGACTCTGCGGGTGTTGGTTGCCCAGGGCTTGAAGAAACCTTTGGATGATGTACCCCTATCTAAGGCCATCAAGGACTTGGTCGGCGGCAAATCCACTCTTCAAAATGAATTATTAGGCAGTGCTCGTAAGTCTTGCTAGCTAGTTCATAGATCACGACTGTAAGAATGGTTTGACTAACCGATGTGCTATTTAATTCTCTCAGAGGCCGAATTTGGCTCAGCGCCCGATAAAGCAGAGGAGATGCCATTGGGTGAACTGGGTTCTGCGCTTCAATCGAGCTATAGTGGTACCATGGGCAAGCACATGAGTGCCCTGGTATCGCGACTCATAGGAAGCAAGATGCCCGGAGGTTTCGGAATGTCAGGTGTCAAGAGCCACCTCTCCAAGTCTTGGGGTTTAGGTCCTGGTAGAACCGAAGGTGTTCTCTTGATGGCCTTGACCATGGAACCACCCAAGCGATTGGGCTCTGAAGGGGAGGCCAAATCATATCTCGATTCCGTCGTCCAGGCTTACGGTCAACATTCTGGTCTCACCCTATCTCAAGGCGGTCCTGCCGGTGCAGCTGGGGGTAGCGCTGGTGGGGCGATGATCAACTCGGAGGAATTCGAAAAATTCCAACAAAGTCAAGACGCCTTCGTATCCCAGCAACTCGAAGTCTTGTTGAGATACTTGAAAAGAGATTCACGAGATGGGTACAGACTGCATGACCTCAAACATGCCGATTACATGCGGGTTCAAGATGAATTAGATAGTATCCAGAAAGAACACGGCGAAAACTATCTCAAGGGGATCCAGCCGGTCTTCGATCCTTTGAAGGCCCGACACTTAGACTCCGCATGGAATTGGGTTAGACAAACGGCCCTGGAGATGTTCTTTGACATGTGAGTCCGTCCAGTCTTGATCAATGTTACATTTCTCTCTGACACTCGTTCCATTCAAAACCGTGCTGCAGTATCTACGGTCGGTTGAAAACTGTGGACCGTGATATCACCGCAAAAGTGAGTGCTCGCCGCTTTTCTTCACCCATTCTTTCTAGATTTCTTATGGTTGCGAACCATTTTAGTGCTTGGTCATCATGAATCGAGCAAATCCTGCTTTGATCGACTACATGCAATATTACCTCGACCACACCGATGCCAGCAAAGGCGAGCGGTACCGTCTCGCAAAGGAGTTTGGACAGATGCTCTTGAGCAACTGCCGGGAAGCTGTTGGTACCGCTCCCTTGTACCGAGATGGTCAGTTGATTGCTAGATCTTATTGTTCTGGAAGTAAATTTCACTCACCATCTTCACTCCCTATAGTTACCTTTCCAACGGCACCGAAGACTACCGTTACATTGAAAGGTGAAATCGTCTATGAGGAAGTCAATCGTGTTGGGGTTTCTCGACTTGAGCGCTATGTAGCTGAGATGGCAGCTGGATCGAAGTAAGTCACGTTAACTGCTGTCGCTCCTTGAACTGAGTTTGATGGTTTCTGACCCAATTGTGTGTACTTCTCCCAATGCCTCAGGATTACCGCTGAGATGAACGTAAGCCCCCCCCCCCCCCCCCCCCTACTTGAATCAATCGTCCCACCCTTCTAACTCACTACCGTATTTTACAGTTGGATAAGGTCCAGGAATCAATCCAGAACCTGTACAAACTCGTCAAGTCTCAACCGACCATCGCCAAGTCCCAGATGGCAGCAATCCGATCACTGTACGGAGAGGTTGTTAAAGGTCTATCGCCCCATGAGCGCAATCGCGCTGCCAACGGACCCAGAAGTCGCCGGCCTTCCAGTCAATTCTTGAGACCAGTGCAAGTCGAGCCGACTGCTCTCTCTGGTGACAAGACCCCGCTGTTACATCTCAAGCGTAAAGTGGGAAGCAACTGGGTTTACAGCAGCAAGCTCACCACTGTAAGCATTTCTATCAATTTGTTGCTCGGATTGCAGGCTGATGATTGTGGATGATTCGCCTGCGCAACTAGCTTTATCTGGACGTCTTAACGGAAATTGCGTCTGCGGGGACCACATTCGAACACAAGAATGCATTGTTGACTGGTGTCGGCAAGGCTAGTATCGGTGTGGAGATCTTGAAGGGCTTGTTGAGTGGAGGTGCACATGTGATTGTCACTACGTCTCGTTACTCTCGTGCGACAGTGGAATACTACCAGGCTATTTACCAAGAAGTTGGATCGCGTGGTAGTCGACTCACAGTCGTTCCATTCAACCAGGGATCCAAGCAAGATGTTGAAGGTTGGACTCCAGTTTGCTTTGTTCACAAGGCAGTCTTGCTGATTTTTTTGAATCGTCTTTCCAAGCCCTGGTTGACTACATCTACTCAACCGATAAGGACAAGGGGCTAGCAATGGACCTCGATTACATCTTACCATTCGCAGCGATTCCGGAGAACGGCCGAGAAATTGATGGTTTGGATGACCGATCCGAACTTGCCCATCGAGTGATGTTGACCAACTTATTACGATTGATGGGTGAAGTCAAGAAGAAAAAACATGCCCTCAAACTTGTCACTCGTCCTACTCAAGTGGTACTGCCTTTGTCACCCAATCACGGCAACTTCGGGAATGATGGCCTCTATTCCGAGTCCAAAATCTCGCTGGAGACTTTGTTTAATCGATGGTCTTCTGAGTCCTGGGGCGAGTACTTGTGCCTCGCAGGGGCTGTCATTGGCTGGACTCGGTCAGTTGGAACTTACTTGGAACATGCGTATCTGCAGCGTACTGACGAAGCTTCATCTCATTTTGCAGTGGTACCGGTTTGATGTCGGCCAACAATTTGATAGCTGAGGGTGTTGAAACACATGGTGTCCGCACTTTCTCTGCCAAGGAAATGGCTTTCAACATTCTGGGTTTGATGCACCCGTTACTCTTCGATGTGGCCCAAGTTGAGCCGGTATGGGCAGACTTGAACGGAGGCATGGACAAACTACCTGACTTGGCTGAAATCAGTATGAAAGTTCGCCAAGAGCTCAACGAAGTTGCTAATGTCCGCTCGAAGATCAGTCTCGATAACGCCATCGATTTCAAGGTTGTACATGGTGTCGAAGCCGAGGCGATCCATCACCCGGTCAAAATTTCGCCCCGTGCCAACTTCACCTTACCGATGCCTAAGCTGCGTCCCAATTTCGACGATGAAACAAACATGACTTTGCTTCGGGGCATGCTAGACCTGGACAAGGTTATTGTTGTCGCCGGTTACGCTGAAGTTGGGCCATTTGGAAGCTCTCGAACTAGGTGGCAAATGGAAGCTAAAGGCGAATTCAGTATCGAAGGCTTACTCGAATTGGCTACAATCACCGGTCTGATCAAATTTGTCGATGGGAAACTGAAGAATGGTAAACAATACGTCGGTTGGGTAGATGCTCAGACAGAGGAGCCCGTAGATGACTCCCAAGTCAAATCGAAGTACGAGGCTCAAATCTTGGCGCATACCGGAGTTCGATTTATTGAGCCTGAGCTGTTCAGAGGCTACGACCCTAAGCGCAAAGGATATACCCAAGAAATCGAGCTGAACCACGACTTGGAAGCAATTGAAACCTCCCGTGCCGATGCAGACAAGTTCAAATTACAGCATGGCGACAAGGTTGACGTCTGGCTGGATGGCGACAAGTGCTTCATCCGTTTCAAGAAAAATGCCAAGATTATGATTCCTAAAGCCGTCAGATTCGACCGACTTGTAGCCGGTCAAATTCCCACCGGCTGGGACGCTCGAGTCTTTGGTATTCCGGACGACATCATCGCACAAGTCGATCGAACCTCACTCTGGGCACTTGTTTGCACTGCCGAAGCACTTAGTAAGTTTCTGAATTCAAAAAGGATTGATGTGTTATGTCTACAGTCAAACTTATTGGGCTGTTCCTTAATTCAGTGATGGCTGGTATTACCGATCCATATGAACTGTACAAGTACATTCATCCCAGTCAAGTGGGCACATCCCTCGGCTCGGGAATGGGTGGAATGAGCAGTTTATCGAAAATGTTCCGTGACAGACGTGAAGAAAAGGATGTTCAAAAGGACATTCTTCAAGAAACCTTCATTAACACTGTCGCTGGCTGGGTCAACTTACTTCTATGTAATTCAGGTTTTTACTATCTTCCTGAAAGTTGCATGCAACTGATCTGATTCACATTTTCCAGTGTCATCTAGCGGTCCTATCAAAATCCCAGTCGGCGCTTGTGCCACTGCATTACAATCAATCGAAATCGCATGCGACACCATTCTCAGCGGCAAGGCTAAAGTGATGATTGCTGGTGGTTTCGACGATTTTGATGAAGAAGGAAGTCTCGAATTCGCAAACATGCAGGCTACCAGCAATACGGAAACAGAATTGGCCGCCGGACGAGAACCAAATGAAATGTCTCGTCCAACCACTAGTACTCGTGCCGGATTTATGGAGTCTCAAGGATGTGGTGTTCAAGTGCTCATGTCCGCTAAGACTGCCATCGAGATCGGTGCCAGTATCTACGGCATTGTGGCTTACACTGCTACTGCTACTGACAAGGCTGGTCGAAGTGTTCCTGCGTGAGTTTAATTTTCATCATTGCTTCTTGCTAAGAAGTTTTTTATGCTCAATCAACCTGCCTTTCGGGTTTCCTTTACTACAGACCTGGGCGCGGTGTCCTTTCTACTGCCCGTGAAGCCCCTGGCAAAGTTCCGGCTCCGATCCTAGACATTGAGTGGAGAAAGCGTCAATTGGCTTTCAGAAGAATGCAGATTTCGCAATGGTTAGACAATGAGGTCGACATCTTTAAGAGCATGGTTTCTAATCTAGAGAAAGCTGGCCAACCAATGCCCGCCGACGAGATTGCCGAGAGGTATGCTGCTATCGAGAAAGAAGCAAAACGTCAGGAGAAGGAAGCCCAATCGACCTTTGGAATGCTCAGTGGTGATGACCCTGAGGTTGCTCCCCTGAGACGCGCTTTAGCGGTTTGGGGACTTAACATTGATGATATCGGAGTGGCATCGGTATGTTATGGGGATAAGTGATTAATCTTGAGCTCCCGCTGACATCACTTTCTTTGGTCTGCAGTTCCATGGCACTAGTACCAAAGCAAATGACAAAAACGAAAGTTCGGTATATAACCAGCAATTCCAGCATCTTGGTCGATCGCGTGGTAACGCTGTCCCAGTGGTAGCACAGAAATGGCTCACTGGCCACCCCAAGGGTGGTGCGGCAGCATGGATGATGTGCGGCGTTACGCAAGCTATCCAGGACGGGATCATTCCCGGTAACCGGAACGCAGACAACATTGGCCCTGAGTTGCAGGAGTTCGAATTCTTGGTTTACCCCTCCAAGTCGATCCAAACCGATGGTATCAAGGCAGGTCTCTTGACTTCCTTCGGTTTCGGTCAAGTTGGTGGTCAGGTGCTGGTTGTCCACCCAGATTACTTGTTGGCCGCCATCGAGCCAGCCGAATATGAATCTTATAAATCCAAGCGATTTGTTCGCGAGCGAGCTGTAAGTATTAGCCTAATCCAGCTTTTCCTGTCCATATACTAATAATTGCTGCAAACCTTTTTTTGCACTCGTGCCATTTATAGAGTTACCGAAAGTTCAATGACTTTTTGACCAAGCGTTCCCTGGTGATCTTGAAAGAAACTCCTCCTTACATACCCGAACTGGAGCCCCATGTACTTCTGAACCCTCTCGCACGAGCATCGAAAGACTCGACTGGATCCTATGCCTACCCGAAGAAACCAGACCACTTACCCACGAAGGTAAACATTGCCACCAAGACAGCCTCGTTGGCGGCGACAATCACTCAAAAGTACGAGAATGAAGATAGCGTTTTCGGTGTCGGGACGGATGTTGAGATGATCACAGCCGTACCCCAATCTGACGTCTTCCTGGAGCGAAACTTCACCGAGCAAGAGCTAGCTTACTGCCGCCAATCGTCTGATTTCAACGCGTCCCTCGCCGGTAAATGGACCGCCAAGGAGGCCGCCTTCAAGGCCATGAAGACTCTCAGCAAAGGCGCCGGCGCGGCCATGAAAGAGATCGAAATCCTCTCCGGTCCTAGTGGCCCTGAGATCAAATTGACCGGCCAGGCGAGCAAGGTCGCGGACGAAAAAGGCATCAAAAACTTCGAACTGTCGATCTCGCACTCGGATGAAGTGGCCATGGCCTTCGTTGTAGCTCGCCATTAAAGGTCTCATTGACTAAATCTGTCTTGTTGCTCTTGTTATTCCTTATGTTTTCTCTTGCTCTTTCTTGTACATAAGCTGTATATGTGTTATTACTTTTTGTCAAACCACTTGCTTGCTGAAACCTCCAACTCTTGATTAATTCTATCCGTAATATTTCTCTCATCTTATTGATGCAGTGGCTATTACTGGCCAGTAGATATGTCAAAGGGGCGGGGGCAGACATGCGGTCCTTGCCATCGCCCATGAGTGGCTGAGATACGTTTTAGCTGTGCTGGATGGATATATTTCGTCACATATATACCTAACTGATCGGGCAGATATGTTGTTGGAAACGCACAATGGTACCAGCTTTTTGGAGGTGATATCATAATGGCAATCCCCTAAGTACACTTACCGTCTGAATTCTGGCTTGGGCAAGATGAGAGACTACACTGCGTGATAGCCTAGAGGCCAATCATCTTTGCCCTCATCTCATTCTTCCCATCCAATGTGTTGTAAACTTTGGCTAATTTATTGTGTCTCGGTCAAAGCTTTGCAAGGCAAGAGGCAATTTTTCTCTACATCTTGTGCTGTTCACTTTCTGTGGGATTGTGTGCAATCATGTGATACTGAAAGTCATTACCATGAACCTTGGCCATATCAGAGAGCATGCCAGGTTGCAAGAACATGAATTCTCACTTGACACATCACTTTCTCTAATTGATGAGTTACACTATGTTACATGTGTCAAGTAACTTCTACTGTAGTGTAGTGTAACTAGGCATGTAGTGTAGTGTAGTGTAGTGTAGCTTGATTTGGTATAATTTACAATAAATGTTAGCATCAACTCAGTTAAGCTGTTGGTTGGCGGAAATTTTGTTAGTGTAGAAACATTTGCAATACTTGTTAGTTGAGTGGTGATTATTTCAAGCTAACACTAAAAAAATTGACAGAACAATTTCACACTATGCTGGCAGTTAGCTCTGCAGTGTTCAGTGTGAGCTAACACTACAGAATTTCCTGGGGAAAAAAGGCTGCTACACTAACAGTTAACTAACTGTTAGTGGCCAAATAGTGTAGTGTAGTGTAGCAACCCACTGTTACATCTACCGGGGCCTGGGAGCCGGATTCAGCTGTTCTTTCTTTTCATTCATGATATCAGTTAGGTGGCCATTGGACTGGTGACTAAAAGAAGCAAGAAAAAGGATTACTTACCCTCCCGATCTGCAAGAGGGTAAAGTCTTGAAGGCCAGGAGGAATTCCTGTCTTCAAGACTGTACCATCTTGACAATTGGGAGAAAAGTCCCTTCCTGTCAATGCCTTTCAAGCCTCAAAGGCCAGGAGGGATTCCTCCCGCTCTTTGAGACAATACAGTCTTGACGACTGGTCCTGGCCTTTGGGGCTGGGAGGAATCCCTCCCGTCATCCAAGGATGTGGGGTCTCAAAAGTCATGAGGCTCCCAGTCTTTGAGACTGTACAGGCCTCAATGGCGGGGAGACCTCCCAGCCATCAAGGCTGTTCACGCCTCAAATGCCGGGCAGTACCCAGGTACTGCATGTATGTTTTCCCAAAATCAAACACACAGCACCACCTTGTGGGTGTGCGCCGGGTGCGGATGATACCTGTCTAGCAGTCCGGGGTACCTAGCAATGGGTACCAACAAACAATCTCTACCACAGGGCATTGGTATCCAAGTAAGGTCATGTCCCCATAGTAGAAATACTGGCCCAACAACTGGAAAGAAATGGAAATTAAAACCTGAAGAATTAAACCAAGCAAGACTTGAAATTAAAGATGAGTTTGATTCCTCTGCAAAATTTGAAACTGGTTTATTAGGAGAAGATTCTGTAGAATTGACACTTTTACGTCAATTCTTGAGCTTCATTCAAGAATATCACGTGGATAACTTTCCAATTGCATATCAAAATTACCCTGATTACATCATGAGATTCAATGCAATTTCTGCTAGTACTCAGTACTTCTCAGAAATGGATCATATTCACATCTATTTATCCCATTATCACTCTGAAAAAGAGCCAACCTGTCCTCAAAATAAAATTATCAAAAAAGAGAAATATTCAACACAAGCTTCACAAAGAGAGTTGGGGTACTTCAAATAGCACATTGAATTTTCAAAATCCCAGCACAACGAAAATTTTTGTCATATTCTTCAAGTGAACTCAATCAATCCATATTTTTTGAATGAGTATATTGAACAAAGAATGGACCCATAGCATGAAAGGATTGAACATGAAACCCCTTTCCATAGATTTTACATAAGCCTCACAACCAGCTAACATAATCATTTCAAACTCAACAGTACTATTTATTCTATTGTCCCCCCTTTCACATTCTAGCTCAGTAGAGACCTGACACCTTATACTATTGAGCTAGGTAAGCCTTATCACATTTACTTCTCATTTTCTCTCATCTCTTTTTATTCTTCTCAAAATTATTGTACAGCACAGAACTGACATTTGAAACTACTGAGTAAGCTAGAAATTTATATGATGTGGTTCTAGAATCTGTCTCTCCAAGGCATCAGGCCTTGTTTCAGTTCCACTTTCTGTTCAATAGTGAAGAGTCTATATGGGACTCTTGCATTGAACATCTAAAAGAAGATCATGAAAGATTTTCTTTCAAATCTTGGATAACTCTTCAGAAAAAAAATGCAAGAAAATTTAAATGACTTTCTCATTCACATTGGATTACATGCTGTTCTTTTTCATTCATTTTTACTTGCCTTCCAGTCTTGGAATCAGAATGAAGAGAATTGAAGCTCCCACCCATTCATTTTTAGCCTAGCCTTTTCATGAGTCTTTGGTTTAAATCCAAGTTCACACAATGCTAAAGGATCCTAAACAATACTCTCCAGCTGAGTTTCTTTCTCTTGGCATTTCTTTGAAAAAGTATGAGTCAAATTGTATCTTCTCAAACTCATTTTCTAACCTTTCTCTTGTATACCATCAAGTTTCTCTCAAGTTTTAGTTTGAATGTCCAGAGCCATCTCCCCTTGTGGAGCTTTTCCCCACATCATCTGCACACTTGTTTTCCTCCTATCCGATCTGTGATTTTGTCTGTTCAAAAAGATACCAACCAAAGACATGCCACAAGTAGAATTCACTAACATGGATTTTGCTTCCACTTCATCTATGTACTCAAATGTCTATTTTTTTCTGCTGTGGTTTCTTTTTTTTTTTTTTTGGTTTTCTTATTTATAGTGTCCATTTATTTTCCTATCTGAGAATTTCCTCTTGTCATACATTTTTCTTGAATATCTGCTATTTGAATTGACATTTTACCAGTAACATTTTTTTTTCCATCATGTCTATTTCCTCCTCTGGATCACTACCATTCCCTATGTTTACTCTAGTGGTGTTTGTAGCTGATGGAGGCCCGGAATATGGAATATGCATCGTTATCCAAAAAGGGGAAGGAAGTTTGTGGTGTTGACAACGCATGACCTACATGGGAGTAAAACCTGGCTCTGGTTTTGAAGTTTGAGATTCATGCAGCATCATATCATCCCGGATTGGATGGGTATACAGAACATAACCCTTCACACAAATTACAACAAAAACAACTAAAATAAACACGGTAACCGAGATAAAAGCGACAGTTCGCGGGGTTTTTTTTTTTTTTTTTTTTTTTTGAAAATATCTGATGGCTGTTACATGGCAAGTTGGGCGCTTGAAGGGGCAGCCCTTATCGAAATCAATCATCTCCTTGTGGTACTTCATCGTCCAAGTACTTGATTAGCCTTACTTTGATCTCAGTTGTATCGTCACCACGAAGGACATCAGAGACAAATTTAGCTTCGACGGCCATACCGACCTGTATGGGGTTCAAGAGGCCATTGTATATCGATCAGCATGACAAGCAGGAATTGATAGACGGAGAGTGTGTAGATGACCATTTCTAGTGCGCCCCTGATGACCCCACAAAGGATCTGACTGTACCACAGCCCGCCTACGGAGCCAGTCTCGGCGCCCGCTGCGGACGGGCCGGGCTTGACTTGTGCACCGAGGGCGTCCTCGGGAAGCTCGACAAACTCGGCCAGGACGTTCTCGTCGAAGGATAGGGTGAATTCACGCAGGCCGCTCGTCACCTGCGGGTTATGGCTGACGTGAGGCGAGTAGCCTAGGAACATCTTGAAGGCTACCTTCGACACCACCTCGCCTACCTCCCGGAAGTCACTGCATCGTGGTAGCGAGGACCGCGCTAGGAGATCCTCTATCAGTCTCGTGCCTATGTTATATCCCCTGCAAAAGGTACCAGCGAGAAATGCTGAATCAGTCTTCATCATTCATCATTATGAAATTTCCCAAAATTGTTATCAAGAATTCCCAGGAAGATGGGAATAATTTGTATAACTTGAAAAGAGATAGAGAGAAAAGATAGAAGGAGGGATGATCGAACATCTTATCGAGCTGTTGATTAACCTGCGAGTAATCCTCGTAATCCTTGACGAGTTGGACGACCAGAGATCCGTAGCTGAGCGCAAAGAATTCCGCATTAAGTTTGTCCGATCGCTTCCAGAGTTCGTCGCCTTGGTTGGCTAGTTTCTTGGGGTCCATCGCTTCCAATCGGTCTTCGATAGACGTATCCTTCGTTTCTCCTCAAGTTATTTGTTCGTTCTGAATTTGGTCATCGACAGTCCATGTGCTGGGGGGAGGGCGATTGAGAGACCCCTTTATTAGCATACGTATGCTTATAGACAGATAACACAAACACCCCCATGACGTAAATACAGAGATGTCACAGAGAACATGAGCTTGAAACAACCGCCTCACTTTCTTTTCAAAATTGATGTCACTAATTATGCCAATTTAGCCATGGTGGCACAAGACTTGATGATAAAGACTTGGCACAAAACAGGCAAAGTTCTCATGAAGGATTGGAAGTGTTTCGTTACATATTTGAAGGTAGGCTGGATAGGTTCGAGTTAACACTCCATTGCAAGACTCTCAAATTTACCCTCCTTGACCACATTTGAAGAGCCACATGGTGCTTCAGACTGCAGTAGCAAAAGACAGAAGTGAAAAAATGGAATTAGTGTAACGAACACAAACAGAAGTAAGAGATTGTGGGGCATCAGTCAACAAAAAAAGCAGGATTCATAACACCAAATTGAACATCAAATAGGAAATCACAAGACAACAAGTCATGGGCACCAAACCACTAGATGAGACAACAGGCACCCTGAAGGGCAGACAACAGCCTCAGAAAATATGAAAAAAACAAGCACAAAATGAGGAGGAAACAAATATTTATCATGGAGAGAGAAAGTGGGGACACCAACCAAGATGACATACGTACAGTTACCAGAAATATATAGCAAAAAAGACTCACACATCAGCAAACTTGCCAATTAAACTCCTCCCAGCTTGCACCAAAAGATGAGGGAGGCTAAGACAATTTTAAGATGGAGGCAAAAAAAAGGTGAAAGACTAGATAGAAGCAGGGAGATGAGATAGAAGGAGAAAGATCAGATGGTATCAGCAGGAGAAAAGCCAGATCCAAGGGGGAAAATATATGTGTGGAAAGCAAAAAACTCAGATCAGTGGAAAGATTTTTTCAACTCAAGATTTTCAACTCAAGATAGCACAGCCAGGAGAAAAAAACGGAAAAGAAAAACGTGAATGTAATGTGTTGGATTCTCTAGTGAAAGTGCATGTGACAGCAGGTCAATCAATCTTGATGTGGCAAATCCCTGGGGGAACAGAACACAATGTGAATGAGCAAATCCCAGGTTAGAAATTATTCCTAGTTGTTTGATTTCCCTGAGGCTGAATGTCTCTGATACTTTCAGTAGGGTAGGATGATGGGAAGAGTGACCCAAGAAGTGTAATACTTAGTTTTACCTGAAGCTTGGACTCAACTTCCTTCATGTCGTCTTTATGGAGTGTATCTTCAAGCGTCCAAGGTTGAATAATAAATGACATTTCTTGTGGACTTGACTTTCTTTGTTTTGGTTCCGTCAAGCGGTGTCGGGTATCTAGCAGGAGAGCTTGTCAAACATCCCTGCACTTGTCCTTCAAATGCTGATCAATGCCAAGTTTCCTCAAGATGACTTGGGAGAAGGATAGGATACCAAAACATTGAGGATTTCGTATATGAGGCTCAAGATGGAGACGGACATTCTATGTAATTGAGATAACGCCCCGAGTGCGACCATTCTGTTTCGAACCACTATTTCGTGAATGTCTCAGTGATCGCAAGCATCGTGTGGACGGTAGATATCTTCCACACAGACCACCATGAAGCTTAGACCTGGTACAGCTTTGAAGCTCGTTCACAAGAGAACAGGGACATGGGTGAGATGGATTATCCTGATCCGAAAGACATCCAGCTCAACAGGGAGCTAGCAATCATTCAATCCAGGCTCCAACTATCAACCCAGACTTCCTTGGGTTCTGTTCCATTGCAACAGAAGATCTCAATCTATTAAAGCACTTCCTTCATTTCTTTGTGGTAATCATCACCAGTCATCGATCTGCTTCCCTCCCTAAGCTCTTACACTCGCCGGATTCAAAATGTCAACCGCAAACCTAAGTAGCAGCCACGGTTCAACCTCACGATGGCCCAGAGAATCGAGTGATCAGTCTGGTTGGAATGCTTTCAAGCGGCTGACGCTATTGACCAGGTTTTTGAAGCCTATATGGACAGTTTATCTGATATCTGCTATACTCTATACCACCTCAGTGGTCGTCATCTTCCCGGGGTTCCACCTGCTCTTCGATGGGCTCCTCACCAGCCGCCAGTCTCCCGTCGATCCCACCCTCTCAGCCATCCAGTCTTCAACCATCCAAATCGTACCCAGGCTTCTTCCCAACCACCACGGTGATTCCCATTCTCTAGATCGCCTGAAAATTAGAAAGAATCTCAAGGGTACCTCTGTCAACACGGACGAGGTAATCGCAGAGGATGACGCGTCGTTGTGGACGGCCAGGACCGGCAAGGTTGCCCTCAGAGTCACCTCACCCACTTCCTTCCGCCGGACCGCTGATGGCCGGCCGATCCCCCCTAGAAGTACCCTGAAAGGATTTGACCCTTCTTTTTCGGATACGGTGGATTGGTACCCAGTAGGGCACAACCTCTCTGGACAAATATCTAGTCAAGACCATCTATTGCAATCTGCTCGCAAGGAGATACATTCGACTACGGAGGACTTCTTCCTGTCCAAAGCTTTTTCTGATAGTCTAGGGCCGAGTAAAATCATCCCATTCTTTTACAAGGCTCTTGGCCCGGATCAGTCTGGCGAAATCAACCCAAAGGACATCTCGATCACTACACTTGTCACCAGTAACCGCTTCAAGGTCTTTGCTAAGCTGGTCGAAAATTACCAGGGGCCCATCTCGGCTACTATCCACGTCTCAGATTCACCCGCGATCTTGAAGCCGCTTCTCGAGAGTCTGGATGAGCTCTACCACAGCTCAAAGTCGATGTCAACTTGGGTGGTCAGCTTTTCTTCATGTTTCAGCACCGAAATTTGCAGCTTAACATTTGGTTTATACTTTCCGTTTTTCTTTGTTAAAAAAACATTGGTTTTTAGGATATTCATTTAGTTGTTGATTCGTTCGATAGGCAATTTAACATGTGGCGAAACGTGGCCAAGTTTTTTGCCCGGACGGACTATGTGATGATGTTAGATGTAGATTTCTGGATTTGTACGAACTTTCGGCAGCGAATCCTTGGTTCCCCGGAGCTACTGGACAAGCTAGCGGCGGGCACTAGCGCGTTTGTGATTCCGGCGTTCGAGTACACCAAGCAGTCCGACGGGGTCGACCCGGATGGCTTCCCATCCGACAAACAGGCTCTCATGAAGCTCGTCTCCTCCGGTCAGATCGGCATGTTCCACAAAAGCTGGAAGCCTGGACATGGCTCAACAAATTACACTCGCTTCTATCACGCTGATCAGCTTGACCAGATATATCCTGCCTCTGGTTATTCCCATAGTTATGAACCTTATGTGGTCTACAAAAAAGATAAGACCCCCTTTTGTGACGAAAGGTTCATCGGTTATGGGGCGAACAAAGCAGCGTACGTGTCTTGGTCTCTCGAAGCAATCACAAATCAGAAGCTTACCTCAGACGAGATAAAAGTGTACTGAATTTCCCTTCCCTCCGAAACAGATGTATCTTTGAGTTATATCTATCCGGGGTATCGTTTTACGTGTTACCCCAAGATTTCTTAATTCACCAATCACACGCGTATGCCGAGAAAACCAGACACCACGAAAGAAGATTTAATCGAAAGCTATACTCAGACTTTCGGGAAGAGGTGTGTTTTCGATACTTCAACGAGTTCATGAAGCTCGGTCTGATATATGACAAGGGTCAAAACATGCTGGGTGAATGCCAAAAAGTAGGTTTCTCGCGTCTTATTGCGGTTTTTGAACCACAATCTCCTGGTGTTTTATGTCTTACTCAAATACTTGTTATGTCATTGATTTTCACAATTCTTTGCAGATCCGAGGCTTCGCAGAAGCTGCAACTAGGCTTGGGCAAGCAAATCTGGTGCCTATTAACTTTAAAAAATAATGTGATACCAAGACACACACGCTAAGCAGAGCCCGAGCAAAAATGTTGTACTTTTTTTTAGTTTTTTGTATTTTTTGTTGTTGATCAGGCTTGGTTATTTGCCTACCAAAGGTACATAGTAGCAGTAAGGACTTCCAAATGTAGCAGATGTCATGGACCCCTCCCAGATGTCAAGAGATGAGCGTGAGGACCACAATATTACATGACAGATACCCTTTGACGTCCTGGGGACCTTTCACCAGAAATTGCCCTGGGGAGAGGTGTCCAAATTAGTTAAAAAAGCAGATGTTTGTTCCCAGTACACGATAATCGTAGAACAGACTGTTCTCGTAGATTCCAAGAAAAAGTGCCCCCTTGAAGAGGTATCAAAATGATCTATTTCCGTAGTATGATCAACAAAAACAAGCCAACAAAAAAAAAAAAAAAAGAGTCACAAAACAAACCCAAAGATGAACGGATTGTGGTTATTTTACATGAAAAAAAAAAAATCTTCGTTTGATAATGAGTCGTTACTTATAAAGAGAGAAATGAATCCTCCCAAAAAATAGGTAGGTACTAGGAGGAGGAGCAGGGTTTCTGGATTAACGGAGGTCGCAATTGTAGCCGAGCAGCGCGGTGGGATGGAAGATAGCCAGGATCAAGATGGCGACGGCCAAGAAGCCGATGATCAGCATTCCTTTGGACCAGAGCGGATAACTCCGGTGCATTGCCAACCATCCTAAGCGGCCCGCTCCCGCTGGCTTTTGTGCTATAATATATTCCACAATAATGTTCAATTGTTGTGAAGGTTTTTTTTTTTTTTTCAAAAAAAAGGGGGAATCAGAAGAAAGAGACTTGCCTCGGTAGTCTCGCCACCTGTCTCCATGCGCGCGATCGTAATATTCGATCTGATGGCGTTCTTCGAAGTCTGCTAGCCATCTATGGTCCGCATCCTCGGCTTGCAATTGTCTTGTAAACAAATGCAACGTCAGGCTGTATATTGATTACACCCCCCCCCATCAAAGAAAAAGAAAGAGTTTAGAAAGAACGAAAGTAAGTAAGTCTTATGGGAATAGAGAAAAGAAAAGACATACACGGTGATGACGATACACAACCCCATCGAAGCGATCCTAGCAAACCTTCCAGTATCCGCAGCCAGAGAGATACTGAACAAGAACGCATGGGCCGTCAAAGAGGTCGCGGGAACTTGCCTGTAAATCCAATCAACCCAGCAGTAGCGTAAATCTCTCGAACCCTCATGAGGTTTAATTTTGTTGGTTTTGATACTTGGTGGAGTGGACTTACGTACCATAACAGATTGTCGAAGGCCGTCCGACGCTCAGCTACGACTTGATAAAGCCTACCAGATCCCGAAAAAAAAAACAAGTAAAAGTTTTAAAAAAAAAGAATCAAGAATTAATAATAAATCCGCTTCCTGTGAAGAGCATATTGTTTTTTTTTGTACGGAATCATTGTGACTTACACAGCAAGATCCTTGAAAGAGCTAGGAGGCACGCCCGAGTATATGGAGGGGGCGAGTGAGTGCGGCCGTGAGGGATGAGCACTGGGCGCCAAGCCGGCGGGGGTGCCCAGACTGCCCCCGCCAGAGACGTGGCTGGCCGAGTTCAGGTCCGAGTGGCTCGCCGCTTTCCGTGCTGGGTTTGTATTTCAGAACCAGAACATTTACGTTTAATTAGCGCTTTCCATAATGTGATTGACTCTTCTTAATTTTGATTTTTCAGTGGTATATTGAAGGGATTATTATTTTAAGAATCAGAAATTAGACTATAGTGTGTACCTCTTCTGAGTCGATCGTGAGGGGCCACCGGATGGACGCCGAGCAATTGACTATCCTCCTGAGTCGTAGCCTGAAGATTATGAAAAGGGGTTTCATTGTAGTTTTGGACGACGGGGGAAGGGCGATGGAGTTCGTTTAAGCTCTGCGAAGCCGGCTTAAGCTGGCTGGGGATATTGAGGGCGACATGATGAGAGGGGGGGATGTCATGGTCGATTGGCGAGTCGGATTTGCCCTGAAGTTGGTGTTGCTGGTGTAGTTCGCTCGAGGACGGGTTTGGGGTGGATGTGATGATCTGCGGGGGCGCTGGCGAGGCCCGGCCTGGTGTCATTCCGGTGGACGAAGAGCCCTTCAACTTGGCCAGTGATAGCCGTCGGTTACTTGATGGCTTGAGTAGCCCCATCTCGCCCGGAAAGTGTTTCTTTGAAAAAAAAAAACCCCTGTTGGGTGTGCGCAGGAAGCCGGAGAAAGCTGGAGCTTGTGCGAGCCGGATTGAAGGTTCACCAGTCGAAAAGGAATCGGGAGTTTCTTGGCTGTACTGGATTTGTTTGTTTGGTGTCGTCCAAAGAAACAGATGGCGGTTTCGGGACCTTCAGACTGGAGATCGGTGGCTCTTCGTTATATATTCAATTCTGCAGATACCTTTTTTTTTTCTTGTTCCTAAAGTGGGGTACGGTGATGGATAAAGTTGGGGCGTTTCTAGGCGAGAAATGTTTAATTTAGACTACCCTCTTGTACATAGCTTTGCAATGGTTTCGATTTGGTGTATATGTGGATGGATGCACTAATTAATGGTTGCCAAACGCTGGAGGAGGGATGGAACTTGGAAGGAGCAATTTCCTTCAACCGAGCTATGTATGATGAGAGAGCAGTAGACCAAAGCATCCAGTGTGAGAACCCACATGTTTAAAATACAAAAACCTTCAATCATACAGCATCCTAAATTTATGCATTTATTTAGACACACAAAGCTCCAGATTATCGGAAGATTGAGGAAGGGCGAACTGGGGCTATTAGGGGGCAACTTACAAGTTAAATACCAAGAACCTCTTCCTCAAAAGAAATGTCTCAAGAATAGACATAATTATAATGTCTTAAAACAAATGACCAATCACATGGTAGACAAAGAAACAAGGGTTCCAACTTCCAAGCATATAGTATAAACCCATCAAAATTTCCGACGAGTATACGTGGCGAAGAGTTGTTTGCAGATAATTAGAGAGAGGGTGGGTGGGGGCAATTTGAGACTGATGAGTGGCAACTTGAGTGTCAATTTGGGTGTATAATTGGCTGTCTCCAGGTTGAGATTGCAAGGTGGCATATCTTTGATAAACACTGCCTTTCTGTAGAAAATGGGACCAGATTCAAAGGCCTGCCATCCCCATCAGATCAGGGGCAAGTTAGCAACTTGTGAGCACAAGTTATAAAGCCGGCCAGCAGCGTGGAGCGATGAGCAACGATAGCCCAACACTTGGTGGAGCTGTTGATGTATGTTGGGCACATTATTGCTTCACTTCCTGCTGAAGTCTCGCATTCATTACCTTCCTTT